ATTTATTTTCCTAAGTAACTCCCTACAGTCCTGCTTAATACCTGTATTTATGAAACATTTTAATTTATCAGACACGTTTCATATGTCATTCCATTTATTTTTATGGTTATCTCTGCTTATTAGCAGTTCAACTGTGTCTTGTGTAAGAAAATTCAATGTAAGAAAAATAAAATTTTTATTGAACTTGAGAGTTATTTTCATTCTAAAGCTTTCATTCATAACTTACCTCTAATAGAGACACCACTGGGAACATTTAAAATTATATGCCTTATAAATTATGTAATTGTTCTTATTTCTAAAAATAATGAGAGATTTATAGAGCTCATATAGAGTACTTATTCTGCCAATTCAATCTCAGTTCTATTTCTTTATTCAAAACTTAATAATGAAGTTCCAGTATATTAACTTACTATTTTTTTCACTTGAGCTTTCCATTTTCTACAAGTGATTTTTAAGAAAAGATATTCCTTCAAAATATCTGTACATGCACAAAGATATTTCCGTCAATAAATAAATCACTATACTGGTTAAAATGTGCACAACAGTTAGATATTCAATTGAGGTACCAAGCTGTGGTAAAATAGAACTCCAGGGTCACTGCTAAAGAATATGTAATATGCTCAGCTCTAGGAGTTATTTTACATTTGGCCTTTTGAAAAATGGCAGCAACCTCTAATTACTTTGCATTTACCAGTTAACTATTTTCTATTTATTTTCACCAAGTCCTACACAGACGGATACAGTTGAAATCTCCTGTCCAGAGATAAAGAAAGGAGGTCTTAGAGACCTTCCTTGGTTTATCCATAGTTACACAGGTAAATGGTGAAGCTAACGTTGGAATTCTCAGTGTGATCGATAGCATAGGCTCTTCCCCTTCTTGGCGTGACAGTGACATAGGTGGTATCTCAAACCTTCAACCTCAGGGGCTGGGGATTTAGCTCAGCGGCACAGCACCTGCCTGGCAAGTGCAAGGTCGTAAGTTTGATTCCCGGTACTGGAAAAAAAAACCAAAAAATCAAAACTTCAACCTCCCCATGTACATACTGTCTAACTAAATCAGGGAATTTTTCAAATACAGATAATGTTCTTCATCAGTTCTTTAACTGGCACTAGACACTGACTGCATAAATTCTCTTTTACCTTCCTCAAACAATTTTATAATACTTCTCTTGAAGTTTCTTCCATATTAAAGACCTCCCCTCTCATCCCTGTTCTCCAGTTATTTTTATTCTTTTGCTTCTCAGGAAAAAGACTCCCAGCCCCACAGTGCTTTATGCTCTGTACAAAAATGGGTCAGTGTGATTTAAATGGTTCATGAACAGTTCACAGACATGCTGAATATTGAAGAGATTTAGACACTAAATCAGCAACTTTTTACAATTCTTCATATGGTTAAAATTCATAAGTATATAACTGTGGTTTTTAAACCAGAAGCACAAGTGGAATCAGTAAGCTGTGCTTTTAAACAGTATTATAAAATAGGCAAATGATTAAGGAAGTCTTTGCTAACCTTTTGACAGTAATCCCTTGAAGGAAGCTGTTTATAAGAAGTTTTGAAGAATACTGAATTGCCAATTTTACTAATTCTACCTCAAATGGAGGAATTTGGGACTTTCAGTGTGTTCTGGTTTAGTTTTACAAGGACAGTGTCTTTAGAGTAAAGACACCTTTTTCTGGTCTTACCTGTACTTATAATGTATGGAAATGCTGCAGACTATGACCATAGTAGCTAGGGCTGCCTAGACGAAGTAGAACTCGTA